CCTGTATCTCAAAAACGAAACGTTTTCGGACCTATGTTTATATAAACTTTTACTCCTATTTTTAACCGACTTCATAAAAGGAGGAGGGAGGTTCTCAATTCGTCGCAATATTTTTTTTATATTTTTTTTATGTATGTTCAGCGATAATTCTTTAACACGGTGTCCGATTTTAATGATTCTTTTTTGTTAGAAAGGGGGTACTTCAGGGGTGGTCCCATATAAATTTGGTTAAAATCTAATAATTGGGTCCATGACAAAATTCTCAAACTCTTCATTTTTTATGTATGTTTAGCGATAATGCTTTACCACCTTGTCCGATTCATTTAATTCTTTTTTTGTTAGTAAGGGGGTACCTCAGGGATGGTTCCATATAAATTTGGTTAAGATGTGATGACGGCATCTGCACATTTTTGAAGTCGGTTTTTTTAAATTTTTAATTTCTAATACTTGTTTTTTTTATTTATTATAGATACAAACTAGCTACAGCATTGAATATTTTATAAATAATTATCATATACATAAATAATTGGATAATTGCAAATAAGTAAAGTCCTTTTTAGCTAAATGATTTTAGTTATATTTAAATTAATAAAATCTTAAAATATTTATCCTTGTTTAGTTAATATCCATTATTGCAATTTAGATCTATAAAGACCTATCGAATTTAGGTTTTTAAATTCCACCGGAAGTGCGTTAAATATTTTAGGACCGAGGTATAAAACAGTATTAGTTTCGAAAGCAAATATAATTATTATCACAGTATAACACTGATTCGAATCCTTTTTTTTTTTAAAAGGATTCGAACATTGGATCCATGATTCGAATTACATCTCGTGATTCGGATTCGTGATTCGAATCCATTTTTTCGAGGATTCGTCCCAGCTCTGGGTGACGGCACCTGCACGTTTTTGAATTCAGTTTTTTTTAATTTTTAATTTCTAATACTTGTAGTTTGTAGATTACGCTGTTAAAATATGATCGTCTAATTTCGGGACACCCTGTATATTGGAAATTCGAAATAATAGTTATGACGTAGCGGTGTTTTTCTAATTGTAATCGGACCCTAGGTATATGGATACGGAAAGTGATGAATTGTAGATAGGTAAATTGTATTTATTGTATTAAAGGAACAACAAATATAAGTACAATTAAATAAGTATATTAATATAACAATTTTTTAAAGTCTGTATTAAAAAATTTTTTTTTCACATAGATTATTAAATTAAAAAAATAACTATTAAAACACGAAATGTTAATTTTTTCTCTTTTACAACACAAAATATACAATACTGTTGAATAAAAATTTTCTCTTGGCAGCAGATGGTTTTTGTGACGCGACAATTTTGATGCTTTGCATCTCATGAATTAAAGTTAATTCTCTTTCAATCTTAAGGTGTTAATACCCCTTATAATTATCGGACAAGAATATCTCAAAATATTTAAATTTTGGCAAAATAAATTAGGCAATAATATCTATAATATGCATATATTTTAATGTTTTAATTCCTTCCAGTTTCCCAAAAAAACCAAAAGGGCTTTAATTTTAAAATATCATAATGAAAATAAATGCATTCCTCGACAGCACTATTCTTAATATAATCCCCAACTTTAAGTCTCTAATGTCTTGTTAATGATTTCTTAAAATTCGCCAAAATTAGTGGCTAAAACGCTTCGTTAAGTGCTATCTTCTGGTGTAAACTGGTGTAAATTATTGCAAAAAACGAATAATGACAGAGTGTACGATACGATAGTTACAAGCCCGTTACACTGTTTTCCACTCAATTTATTAAAAAAAATAATAATAATAAATTAGGGTGTTAATTTTTTTCTCTGAAGCTATTGGTTTTGGAAAAAAAATTCAAGAATAAAAAAAAATTAAATAAATCAAGGATTTCATAAAAGTTCATCTCGAAAAAAAGTTTTGATATGAAATAAAGTAAATGTTGCTAATTTCACCCCCCTATAATGTAACAGAAATATTGAAAAAAATACCCGTGGTTAGTCCTTTGCGATTACAGAATTTCAAGTTGCTAGCTTTACTGAAATTTTAGAAAAAAAAAATAAAAACTCAATTTTATACACCACTTTTTAAGGGTGATATCTCGAAAAGAGGTGGGCTGAGGAAATTTTGTTATAGAAAAGACCCATCTTAATTTCATACGAGCACTCAGTTCCTGAATTTTGTCGCATGTATTTAGAAACACCCTGTATATTACACATTTTTTTAAGCGTTCAAAATTCTTGACAACCTCTTTTCCCTAATTGGCACATGTCGTATTTTTCTAGGATTTACTAACTCTGGCAGCAAACAAATAAAACAGAAATTTGTCAGCTGTGCATTTTTGCCTTTCAGAATTTTTCATTTCATAAATTAACTAAAAACAAAATTAAACGAAAACCTAACAACGCCTCAACAACAAACTAAGACGATCACAATAATTTCGCACCTCTTCAAAAACAACTACCTATTTTTCGACACAGAAATTAACAAATTTAACTAAACGGCAGCTACCCTTTTAACCACGGGCTTCAAAGACTAGCAGTGTTGCCATATTCACTGGTATCATTGTTTTAATAGAATTAGTATCGGAATGAAAACTATGTTAATCTTCGGTCCTGTTTAAAATTGGTAATCTTTTTGAAAAAAAGTTATTTAGAAAATAGTTAAGATATTTGTTATAGAATGCCGGGTAAAGAGCCAAAAAATTAAATTTATTAAAAAGTTGAAATTTTTGTTGTTTTTCTTTAAAAATATAAGTTTTTCGCGGTTTAGCGAAATTCTTGGTTCATTTTTACAACGATTGGCCTGAACCATTTTTTTTTACAATTTTTTTTAACTGCCTCAAATGTAAAATTGATTTTTGGTGGAGGAGCGCCCGTCATGTTTGCTCTTAAAATGTACATAATACTGCAATTGAGCAATAGATACTCTTCATTTAATTAGAGTTATTTTGGTTAGGGCAAGTTGATTCTAATCTTAAAGCAAGACTTATTAGCTACTGTTGAACAAGAATTACTAGAATTTCAAATCGAGACAAGTTTTACTTGCGGATATGCAAAGACAACAAAGCATTGAAATAAGACCATACATCTTGAATATAGTACACCTTTTTTTCTGTGCGGTTTTATATTAAAAGAAGATTTTATCTGATTTATTAACATCCATGAATTAATTTATGGATCAGAATTCGATAACGAAATTGAACCTAAAATCGATAATCAGCGTTTGGGTCAAGCGGTCGTTAAAATTATAAAAAAATAAAGACATCAAAAGTTGTGTATTTGTACTGATACTTGTAGTGTAATGATGTCCGTTAAATATGGAGCTATTATTGAAGTCAGGAAATTTGCACCACTAGCTGTTTGAGTTCCATATTATAATTATTATTCTTTAAATTTGTCGTTATCAAAATTTATTGAGGTATCTAGTACAATAAATTGTATTGATACTATAAACGAAACTTTTCTTAAAAAAAGATAAAAACAAAATTAATTAGTCTTTGTGATACTCGATGGATGGAACAAAAAAAAAACTTCCACTTTATTTTTAAAATAACTTTCATTCCGTTCTTTAGAGTATTAGTCGATGAAGAGACAATATTTCTAGTCCAAAAGCAAGCATATTGTTGAACAGTTTACTGAACTCAAATTATATCTGCATAAACTATATATTTTCCACTACCTTGATTTTAAGTAAGCAACTGCAAAATATCCTTTAAACGATTTAAAGTCAAAAAGAGACAAGGCTGAGAAGAAATTCAATAAAATAAGGAAAGTTATTTCTGAGTTTTCAAACAAACTTAAAATAAGTCTCCTGAGGTCCAGAATTACCAAACATCAAACAATGAGGGAAAATTACCTCACTGACACAGATCAGGATTACTATAGAGTTTCTGTTTTTGTTCCCCTGTTGGATGAAATTATCATGGATCTCGAAACTCGTTTTAATACGAAAACACTTGATGCTTTTAACCTGAGTATTATGTTTCCTGATAATTCAGGGAAACAGTAATTTAATTGAAAAGTGCTTGTCTAGTGTGTAGGTCCGATATGCAAACTTACAAAGAAACTCCATCTCTGGCCCTGCCATATCTGAAGTGCTTTTAAAATCGAAAGTTAATTTATGGAAAATGAATAAGGGATTTAACTGCTAATAAGGACAAAAAGTATGAAGACCTAGACATAATATGTGATGAGGATCTATCTCTACATTGCAAACATTTTATTAAAAGTGTTTCTTACATTACCAGTAAGTGTTTCTTAAGCCGAATGCAGTTTTTCCGCGTTAAAAGGCTAAAAGTCGTGGTTGAGAAACAACATTTCTGAAGACAGGCTTTTGGGTTTGGCTTTACTTTACATATTCATTACGATATGAATATTGAACCATCAAAAATTGTAGAAAGATTTGCAAAATCTCAAAAAACAAGATCAGATTTTGTATTATAGTGAATTTTTTGCTTTAATATGTATAGGGAAATTACGTTGTATTTTGTATTTAATATATTTTTAATTTATCTAAGTTATAAAAATTATTAAACGTTATTTTTTGTTATTTTTTAAGAAAAAGTTTGGGGAACTTTTTTTTAATTTTAACTTGGCATTTTAAATATCCCCCTCTTGTGCAAGCTTTCTGGATCCACCCTTGCAGACTTAAGTTTGTGGTGTAGAAATAACTATTGATGTTTATGTTAATGTCAGAATTATTAACGTTAGTTAAATCATTTTACGTTGGATATTTTGTATTCTCCAATAAAAGTACTTCAAAAATCTGTTTATATTTTAATAGCATCAACAATTTCGACGAAAAAGTGATCAAATACAATTACTTAGGTTAGGATAATTAAAAAGTGCTAAATTAGAGGAATACTACCGGATTACCTAAAGTGCTTTGATAGGAGTCGATAAATTTTATTCTATATCTTAAGTGCCTTTCAAAAGTAAGTCCTCCGTAGATTTAAAACTTTATTAGAATGAAATTTGGGATATCTTATCTAAATATATACAATAGAATACTGTGAATTAACAATTTAACCTTGACGTATTACTTATAATAATAAACAAAATTATTCATATGATTCAACTTAATGCACACAATGACACTATAAAATATTATAAATATAGATATTTTTTTTTATTTAAATATTTTTAACTCATCGTGTCAATTAGTAGTAACAAAAATTAAATAAATTGTTCTAAAATAAAAGAACAATAAGTTTTAGGAGTATATCTGCCTAATATGATTCATATTGGCAAACTAAAATTGGTCAAAATACTAATAAAATTATATATCTAAATCACAAACATCAATTTGTAAGAAAGTTATTATCCTTCAAAAATATAAGAATATCTTTGACCCTATTCTTATACGCATCCATATTACCAACTTCAAAGTTCATTCCTTCCATTAAATCTCCATTTTCTGAGATTTTCTGGAAATCAGGAGCTTCCTCAGAATCGGCCAACATAATCTTTAATACCATCAAACACGTGCTCAATCCGAATACCATAAATTTGCTAACGTGTTTTTCCATTCTTGAATAAGAGAACTCCTCTGGATCGCAGTTGAAGTGTTGAAGATGTTTGGAAAATGTGTCGTAGTATAAATTCAGGTACGTTCTGTAATCGTCTAATATTTCTTTCGGACTATGCGCTAGGAAGAAGTAGCAAAAGTCATAGGCTGGTGAGCTCAGCATCGTTATTTGCCAATCAATTATCCTTAAAAGTGAAGGTTGAATGCTATTATTGTTATCCTATAAAGAGAAAAATTGTTAAAAAAAAAGTGTACGCAATAAGCAATATTCTGTTAAGAGGAATTATAGTACCTTTTCATATTTTTTAGACTTTTGTGAAAATCAATAATTATTTCTGTGGCTTGGTTCTAAAGGCGGATTTCCATGGCACGTAATTAGGCAAGCCGACTTGTAGATTGGGCTCGCTAATCACAGCTCAGTAAATAAATGCGATCCCACAACGTGTGTGAGTTTTGGTTCGAGACCTACAAGACTCGGCCTGCCTGCACTCCCTTTGACTCGCATCAATTTTACCGACAACACGCGGGAAAGACCAAGCCGGGCCAGAAATGGCACGGAACTTGGCAAGTTGGGCTCGTGATTCGCCGATCCACGTGCCGTTGGAATCCGCCATGAAGGGCCAACGTCAGAATTCTATAATTTAAGTAAAGAACATTTAAAGTTTTTACGAAAAGTATTACCGGTCAATTAGCGTTATAAAGCAAATATTGATAATAGTACTGACTCAAGTACTTTTAGTTCCAGGGGAGTTTCTTCCGTGTACCTACGTGTGAAGCGGTAGTTCTCATATACAGGGTAAATCCTAAGTTGACACTTTTTTTAACGGCATATAGATCAGAAACCAGTCACAGACACCAGGATTCTGCAGTAGATAATTTAGAGCTCCTAATACTCTACTGCGCATAATAGACATTAGAAATCCATAAAATAAACAACTTTATCAAGAATAAGAAACATACACATACCACTGAATTACAGCTGTCCGTGATTCATACATAGAAAAAATCTAAAAGAGGTGAAACATAAAAAAACCTAAACAGACACCTCGTTTAACCTAATTTTAATACAAAATTTAAGATCCATATTCAAGAAGCGACCCAGGGGGTGAGCGGTTACAGACCATTAAATAGATAGACGTAGTATACGATCTTTAGTTTTCAAAAAATCAACTTGTATACAACTTCAATACCTGGTCATTAGGTGATTGGTTAATAGTTTGATAGATTATTATTATTAATATTATAATCATGTTCCATCGATCTATTTAATTACTGAAGAGTGGAAATCCACTTAAAGTTTCCGATATTTGCCACCAGCCATCAAACATTGAGGTAGGTATTTATATGGGTTGTAAATTTTATCGAGCGAAGTGGCCTGGCTTCACAGGTTCACTATTGTGTATCGATATCTGCAGTTAAGCAAGATCGTGCAGTTAGTACTTGCAAGGGAAGTGCCCGCGTAACAAATCTGGGGATTCCAATATTTTTGAGAAATCTAGAGCGGTATTCGAATACTTAAAAAAGAAATCGTAATCTGGTTTCGCCAAGAAAAACCTATAGGATTCGTATTTGAGTATTAGGGGATTGAATCCTTGCATAACAGTGGCGACTTGCGACCAAAATATTGGGGGTTCACAATGACAGAATATAGATATAAATACAGATTTAGTTAATAAACTTTTAGTGTTTATAATATACTTTTCTAAAACACTGAAATATTTTTTACCTACATCAGTACTGAGGTCTATATGGTATCATTGTGAAAACCCAATATTTTGTTCAAAAGCTGCCACTGTTTTAGAGATCAAACTACGCCGGCGTGACGAGCCGAATCAAGCTTTGACTTTCGAAGTGTGAACAAAAACAAACTTAAGGTACTCGTTAGATGGTCACTGCAGAGACATGCTGCAGCTGCAAGTGGCGGAGACAAGATGCAGACACTGCATTTCTAATAAAATTAAAAGAAGATGGAGTCCATGTTCTCTTAAAGCAGTGGGGGCGCATTGAGCGCCCCTTGCCAAAAGCGACGTCTCGCCTCACCAGTTCCTACATAGGTTTTATTCCAACCTTGCGAAGACGTGTCATTGTCATCAACGAAACCTCCTTGATGTAAATATCAAGAGGAGTGAAAGCAAGAATGGGTTCCATGGCTCTGGTCGGTGTAGTTTTTATGGCTCCTGTTATGTTGAGACATGCTGTTCTTTAAATTTGTTTTAGTTTGTAGAAAGTTGTCAATTTTTAAGTGTTCGATACCCAGACAACTTTACCGTATGTTAGCATAGATCTTATGATTGCCGTGTAAGTCCATGCGACGATTCTGGGGGAGAAACCCCAGGTGTGCCTCACGGTTTGGCAGCACTGTTTATAAGCAATTACTCGTATGCTCTTTTGACTCCGTTATCATATCAACTTGCTGTTAAAGGAGAGACCTAGGTACTTCATCTTTGTTGCAAAGTTTAGTTTTGTTTAGTTTAGTTCCAGAGGTTTTAATTTAATTTTTATGCTTTTCCTTGTGAAATGGACAATTTCTGTTTTTTTGGGATTGATAGACAATAAATGGTCCTTGCAAACTTTGCACTACTGTTCTGACTGTTTTCAGTGACAGATTTCTAAATAGGCTAGCTTTCATGAAAGCCACCAATCACAGTTAATTATATATTATCCAGCTCACTATTATTTTTTTTAAGTTAGTAACAATTCTTTCAAACTGAATATTATGATAAAATGTAATTCACAATGAGTAATTTTTTTTTTTTAGTAAAAAGCTTCGAATCCATTTTTTGAAGATACGTCCCAGCTCTGCCGCGTAGTTGCATGTTGCATATCACAGCTGACAGGCGTTATATCAAAGAGTACCGTATAACGTGGGGTGTGTCATCTTTTGGAGGAGATGTAAAGCTGTCGGTCCTGAGTCATAGAATAGATGTTGAGATCGACATAAAAGGATTCGGCTAACTTTCTGGTATTTAGGGATAGCGTGCTCACCTAGCGTTGGGTTTATAGCTCGTAGTTAGAAAAAGACCGACGTTATATACACTAATAATAATGTTTTTATCGTGTTTTCCTATATTTGAAAAAATAATTAAAATAGCATGTAATGGATAAATAAGTTCAATAAAAATACAAAATTTAAAAGAAGGGATACAAGTAACTAAAAATAAAAAGGTAAGTAGTAATTTTATTTCTAATACACATTGGACCCCTTACTATATAAGATATATTATGTGCTATATTGATATCGAATTATCGTGAAAAAGTGTACCGGAAGTTTAACAAAATACCTTTATAGATTTGAGTACGTTATTACCTATACAGACCTAAATTATTCGAAAACAATTATTTTCAAGGACAAAACGTATAATACATTATTTCTAAATTCATAAATTTACAGATTGTTTAGGAATGATACGAAAATAAGCATTTAACTTTGTTTATTCATTATGTAAAATGTCGCAGTTATATTTTATTAATACCTACCCTACCCTTCTGTCAACGTAACATAAAAATTTCGAATTATTACTTATTTTTAAATGTTAATTCTTTATTTGTAGGAGAGGTCACACACAATGTTTCTTATTTAATTATTTTTAACTTATTCACGATAAAAACGATGTAAAATATTTTTTTCTATACCCACATGAATATTAAGATTATCTACGCAAAGACTACAAAACGAAAAAGTATGCTATTGCGTTCAACTGAACGAATATATTTCATATCCATTCTAGGTAGTGAGAACACTGCAAAAAAATGTAATCACCAATCACGGTTCATATTTTGGTCACCCGACTACTATTATTTTTAAAATTTTAAATAATTGAGAATTCTGTCAAACTTACTGGTAAATATATTTTTTAGTTATTGAGATTAAATATACATTAAAATAAGTTATTTTTGTGTAGAATCGATAAATAATAGTATTTCGTCTATATTTGGAAATAACTCCTAAATTTTAGTCAAACTAGTTTAATTACGAGTATTAAAACTAAAGGTCTAAATTTGGCGGTGGATGTAATGGCACGCGTCTGTCTTACACGCGAGAGAACCGGATTCAAATCTAGACCGGAGACAAATTAAATTAAATCTTTTGTTTTTTCATGTTTATTTTATTTTATAAATTAGTAAGAGTCACACATTATTTTCAAATCAGTTATTTTGACTTATTAACCAAAAATAATTTTAAAAATTTGTAGATTTTTATTAGTGGGTCGTACAAAAAATATACTGTACAACTCGAGTGGTTTGTTTGTATCACACTCAGACGATTAAGTTATCCGCCTACGCCAACGGCGTCGGGCTCAAACTTCGTCCTCGAGCGATATGGCCATCATATCTACTCTTGTGCAACAAACTACTATTTCTCACTTTGTTTTGATGAAATATACTCATACCTATCTAACAATGAACAAGGCACAAATTTAACAGCTCTCTACTATAGTTCTATTTTCGTATAAAGAGTATAATACAGTCTGTTCGTTTTACTTAGCGGGTTTCGGATTAACAAAATTATGCAAATTAGTCATTAACAACCAGTTCCAATAAAACTTTTCCCAAGAAATTAGGTAAAATTGCCCTAATGGTCAGATTTAAATTTGAGCTAAATAACCCTCTTATTATACATAGACCATATTTTCTGTGTGAAGTGTAATATAAAATTATTATTAGGTTTATAATAGCCACATTAGACTCCATTAATAAAGAAGTTTAATTCTGCTCTCAATTATACAAAAGATTCTCCAGTATTATTTAATTAAAAAGTTGTACATTATTTTTTATTTCATTTAACCAGTTGATATTTCCCCAAAGAACAGGTCAAACTTTCGGGTACTTATCTGGAAATTTTTAATCCGAAACACGCGTAAGTATAACGAACAGACACACTATTTTCCAAATAAAGTTTTTCAACACTGTTTTGGCACTCTGTTAACAAGTAAACAAAGCTGGCGAGTTTTTTACATTCAAAGAATTGTTCTCATAGTTATTTTCACCTCTTATTTAGCTTATTACATAAGTATAATTAGTAGAGTTTTATACAGGGTGTCACAAAGTGTCACAAAATAAAACGGGGGGTAGTATGGGCCAAAATATGCAGAAAAGTCTTAATAAACATATGTCCGCAAATGAATGGTTTCAGAGATACGGAGTGTTTTGTGTTTTGTATCATTTTTTGATTATCTTTTTTCATTCTCAAAAACTTATGTCTCAAACTTATGTTTCTTA